CTTGTGCAAGGGGTCCAGACCCTTTACACCTACCTTGTCCAGTCACTGGATGTGGTCCACTCACTGAGAGGTGGAATAACATTGGGCAACAGGGCTCTCTTTGGCTCTTTAACAATTCCATGATATGGAGTCAGCTGAGGGCCCTGAGTCACCAACACTCTCTGCAGCTGGTTGATTGTGTGTCTCAGTCCAACATGGAGTGATCAGGGCAGTGCTTCCACAGCATCCACCTCAGTGGGGAAATGAGAATGGAGCCGCACAGTTTGTGTGGAAGGGGGCAGGCAGAGAGAAGAAAAGGTTTTGGTGCTGGAAATAGCATAAAATGAAGGAGGAAGGAATATTTCTCTGTTTCTCAGGTACAGCTTGCAGTTCTATCCAAAGTTGGCCCCTGAGTTCATGTGAGAGAAATCACATTATTTCTCTTCCTCTGCATAAGAATTCCTTGAACCAAAGGGGACATTCTCGTGGACTTCCCTAGAGAACTTTCTGACAACTCTGGCTCCAGATTAGTTTAATCTGTTCTTATTCCCATTTGTAGTTCAGTCATTTTACTGCATGAATAGCTGGAAGACTGGTTTACTTGCAGCTCAGTCTCTTACTATGTGTTTTTAACTAAATACTTTCACTTTTCTTGGCCTCAACTTCCCCTCTAAAAAAAAAAAAAAAGATGCTTAAAATTCTGGAGCCAAGCATTTATCCAAGCATTTATGGGATTTTAGAGAAAATAAAGTATGTGTTTCCACAATAACCCAATATATTATTTTATTTTCCTGGAAAAAAAAAACCACCAAACACTTTGAATTCTTCAAAATCATGCACCAAAAACACCAGGGCTTATAAAAAAATAGAGTTGGGCTTAGACAACTAAAAACCCATGCAGGTTTGTTTTCAAAACACTAATAAAGCCAACCAATCAGGCAGCACCCATTCTCTAATGCCCACCAAATTGTCCATAAAAACCCTTAAAAAGAGAAAAAAAGAACACTAATAAAAACATCAGTAATAGTAATAATTTTAGCACAGTTATCCAAACTCCTAATAACTAAAGGTGTTTAATAGTAAATGTAGGGCTTTACCTGAAGGTAGGTGAATGTAGCTTAATAGAAAGTATACTGGCCGGGAGTGGTGGCTCACACCTGTAATCCCAGCACTTTGGGAGGCTGAGGCGGGCAGATCACCTGAGGTTGGGAGTTCGAGACCAGCCTGACCAACATGTGGAAACCCCATCTCTACTAAAAATACAAAATTAGCTAGGCATGGTGGCACACACCTGCAATCCTAGTTACTCAGGAGGCTGAGGCAGAAGAACCGCTTGAACCTAGGAGGCGGAGATTGTGGTGAGTCGAGATCACGCCATTGCACAAGAAGAGCAAAACTCCATCTCAAAAAAAAAAAAAGTATACCAAAAAGATGAGTTTGCCGAATTTGGGAACAAAGCAGTGGTGGGCTAATAAATCGTATGGAGGAAGAAATGCCTTGTTTTGTATTGTTTGGCAATTTCTGTGGTGTAAATACTCCTACTATGAGTGATTTTTGCTCACTACTTTCCTGAAAATTTAACAATCAGCTCTCCTAAACTGGTGCAAGCTGGCTGGCTCTAGGACATCAACAGGAGTAAGGGCTGAGTAACACTGTGACAACAGGCTAAAGGTGGAGAAGTTGTCATCTTTGTACAAAATGTGATCTACAAAGCTATGGTCTTGTGTTTCTTTTAAGCCAAAAGGAAAACCATGGGGCTAAAAGGCATTAGATATGCTAGCGCATTTCTCTGAGGTTTGCTGAGCTCAGCTATTGGTGTATTTTGTACTCAAATAACTCTTCCTCAATGGCATAAAACATTAATTTGGGAGAAAATTGAGTGTGAGTAAAAGGAACACTGACATTATAATGCTGTCATAATTCCAGGATTAATAAAAAGCACATGAGCTAATTCCTATTACAGAAACACAATCTGTAGGTAGAAGAGGTTTTGTATATGTGAAGGGTGGGTTGGGGATGGGTTGTTTGAAAGATGGTGACTAATTTGATAGCATGTCTGTTGGAGTGGTGTAGCACAGGGATGTTAGGCTAAATTGGCCTAGGGAGCAGGAAGCTGAGCTCTCATAGTGATGATGCATTGCAAAAAAATTCCTGAAAATGCCTCTAAAATGGAGGGTTGCTAAATCCACAGGGGAAGAGAAGACCAGAGAACTTCTTGGACACAATGAAGTGAAGTTAGATTGAGATCTGAGCAAGAGTTAGACAGGCAGAAGATGGAGGGATCAGGGTTGGATATAAATTACACAGATCACTGTGGAGTTTTGCTCAGAATCTCTTCAACACTGTTACTCCTGAGCTCCTCCTCATCCCTGCATCTCCCAACCCCTTGTCTTTCTGTTAGCCTGATATGGAGACTCAAAAGAAGTCCTGGATTTTGCTGCTATGTTGGACATAGAACCAAAAACTTAAGAATGCAAGTTCTTGAAATTCCAAGGCGACTTCCTAATTTCACTGTCAGCTGGGTTTCATGTCATCTCTGCTAACACAACTGTTTCTGTGTTTCCTCTGTGTACCTTTCTTGGACTTCAGTTTGGGATGCTTCCTTTCCCACTAATGATTTTCTTTTTCCTTTTTTTCTTTTTACGTGCATAACACAGAGAATACTCCTCCACATCAACCCTGTTCTCAACACCAAGATATTTCCTCTCACACTCCTAAGTCACTCAGTCTCAATCCTTTATTTGTCCTCAGACTTATTTCCAAACTGCCAAAACCTGTTTTCAGAGATAAAGCAGCAATAAAAGCACATTAAGAAGTCCCCCATAATATGCCAATCTAGATGATCTCCATTTTCTCAAGCCTAATCCCTGCTCATCAGAAGTAACTGAGGGTCTGACAGTAACAGCTGAAGCCTCAGGAGAGGAAATGGACTTCGGAGGAGAGAGGTTAGAGAGCAAAGACTATCAGTTGACATGAGGTGGCTGCTTAAGGGAGCTTGTGGCTACATTGTGTTGTCACTTGTTTAGAAAAGAGCATATTTGTATTTCTGGAGGCAGAATTTTCTGAATTCTGGATAACAGAATCTCCTTAGGCCCCAGGCTTCACAAGACTGACCCCCTGAAAGTCCATCAACAATTGGGTGGGTGGTCAGGGGCTTTTTATCACATGACCACAAGAAGAATAAAGGCCGAAGCGGGCCAGAGAAAGAGCCTTTGGGGAAAGCATAGATAAGGGGTTCTGTCATTCATGTTGTAGAAGAAGATGCCTCCTGCTTCACAGTCCAGGAAAATCTCAACCTGGGGGCTGGGCTCTGACAAGAATAGAAGGGTCCTGACTGGAGAGAGGGCCCAGTACCCATTTACAGATGACTCCACAGCCCAGATTCCATTCTTAGGAGCAAGGAGAATTTTCTTCACATTCTTCCTACAGACTCCAACCAACCATTATTTCCCATCTCCCACCTCCACCTCCTAGTAATGTCTCTCCGAGGTGAAGGCTTCCAGGCCTAGCACACAGGGCCAGGAGTCACATCTCTGGTTTTTCAGGCAGTTTCTGACATGAATCTTCCAGTCAAACAGATTTGAATCCTAATAAAGAAAAAGGTGAGGGTGGGCTGTGTTTGGGTCGAGAGTCACTTTAACTGGAGAGAAAGACAGAAACAAAAAGTCTGACCATTGGTGAATGTTAGTGGTTACAGGACTATTTTGCTTCTAAGAAACAGCACTGCTGTAGGATTTTTTAGAGATGAAGTCTTACTATGTTTCCGGGGCTGGTCTAGAACTTTTGGGCTCAAGTGATCCTCCCACCTCAGCCTCTCGAAGTACTGAAATTACAGGCGTGAGCCACTACGCCCCGCTGATCCTGTACATTTTTCGAGCTCATTGTACCAACAGTTCCTCCATTAGTTTGGTTAAACATTCACAAAACGAAACGAAATGCCCCCAAATATGACAACTGAGTCCTTGTAGGAGAAATCCTTAAGTGAAGCTTAGTATCATGGAGTTCGCTGCATATTCATATATACATACTTGGGGACCCATGCACTAAAAAGACAGACTCCTTTTGTTTATAATAATTCAGCACTTGCTGTTAAGGTGATTAAGGCAAGTGGGTGTGGGTGGCAGAGATAGTGACAAAGGAAGTGAACTAGAGGAAGAAAGATCAAAAGATGCGAAGTCACAGTTAGGCAAGGGAAAGAAGGCAGGAACTGGCCCTGTTGCACTGATATACTTGGTTACCTGGGCAGGGCGTTGACAGGCTGTTGGGGGGATGTTGGGGGCACCTAGAAAATATGGAGTTGAAAATTTACAATATACATATGAATCTTTAAGGCACATCTCTTCTTAGAACCTTTTGGAATACATTCCTAAACATAAACAGGAGATATTTTAGGAGTCTTTTCCTCTCCTGGCTGGGGGCAGTGGCTCACACGTGTAATCACAGCACTTTGGGAGGCCAAGGTGGGCAGATCACTTGAGGTCAGGAGTTCAGGACCAGCCTGGCCAACATGGTGAAACCCCATCTCTATTAAAAATACAGCAAATTAGCCAGGTGTGGTGGCGTATGCCTGTAATCCCAGCTACTCCGGAGGTTGAGGCAAGATAATTGCTTGGCTGGGGAGGCAGACATTGAAGTGAGCCGAGATTGTGCCACTGCACTCCAGCCTGGGCGACAGTGAGACTCTGTCTGACGGAAAAAAAAAAAAGAGTCTTTGCTCCTTTCTGATCGTAATTAGTTCCTAAGAACATGCAGTTGGAAGGTTTCTCCATTCAGGTTGTCCCTCTTCAGCCAAATCTCAGCCTCTTCAGTTCCTCACCCTATGCATTCTACCCTCTCCATCCTCACCCCTTTCTCTGTGCCAGTTCCCCTCTCAGCTTTTCAGTCTCTCTTCTTCCAGGCCTTGTAGCCCTGACTCTAAGCAATTTTCCCCACTTACTCCTTAATATTCCTATCTGAAAATCATAGCCCACATAAAAAAGGTAATCGATGGTTCTCTGTTGTTAATGAAAACTTTAGACAAATTAAATTTAGCAGTTTAATTTGAACAAAGAACAATTTGCAAACCATCAGAATGATCAGGAAGCCATCAGAGAGGTTGAGTGAGCTCCATTCCACAAGGGAAGTGACAAACGGAAACAGCTTAATTGGTTACAGCTCAGAGTTGGCCTTATTTGAACATAGTCTGATCACTGGCTGCAGGGTTGACTGGAGCCGACTGAAGTTCGACTACTGGGATTGGCTGAGACTCAGCTATTTGTTACAAAAGTATACTCCTGTGCCTTAAGCTTTCAGTTAGTTTACATACTAAGTTAGGTTGCAGTTCATTATTTAAGGGCTCAAGTAAGGAGCCATCCCTCAGGCTAAATGTAGGTATATCTTATACCAAATTTAGTTTAATTTAACACAATAATTTCTGCTTTAGTTAAGATTCTCTGATCCAGAATAAAGGAAAAGAAAGCATGTGCTGTACACTCGATCTGAGAAACAGTAAGATAATCCTCTTTGTAGGAATTTGTGTTTTGATTGGCTCAGAGTTACCATTTCTCATCAGTTGCTGGGCAGAAGCCACTGGGGAAGGTTAGAATGAAAACTGAAACTATATTGAATTGTACACATTGATGAAAAATTTCAGCCCTACCTCTCAAAGTGTGTGCAGCTCTCTGTGTTTACCTATTTGAATCATTAATGTGTGTGTTATGTGTAAAATCAGTGTTTCTTCACATTCAGCTGTCTTTTATATCGTAACAGAAATATCAGGAGAACTGGGTGGAAAAATGAAATGATTTTAAGAAGATAGGTATTAATTAAAATGATACTGTGGCAGTTTGCAGACATCCCCTTGCATGTAATTGTTACATAGAAGATATTATCATCCTTCTTTTTTTTATATTATCATCTTTTACCACAGATCCAAATGAAAGTATGAAAAGAATGAAAACTAGATCTACTGCATCTATTTTAGTACCTCCAAAATTCAGGTCTCAGATCCATTACTGAATTGTAGAATTTTCTGGTATCCAGAGTTAGTGCTGTCAGTAACTGCATATTTTATATTTTTCACAAAATTATTTTGGGTGTGACTGAGCCTTTCTTCACCTCTTGCTCCTTATTTGTGCCATACTGTATTTTCACGTGTATTTGTTTCTCACTCTGACAATGAAATATGTTCTGAGGTTAACCTTTGGGTAGACTGTGGGGGATATCTTTGTAAGGGGTCCTTGCGACAAACCTTGGGACCTAGTGATAGCAGACAGGAGGCAGTCAGATGCAAAGGCAGGTAGCAATGGGTGCCTGGTGAAACCCCACCTCCAAGCTGAAGAGAGTTTAAAGCCTGAAAGCCAAACTACAAGGTAAATCCTCAGCCCAGATTGAGAACTTGTTGAGAACTTGTCTTCATGTTTGGTGCACTTTCCTCTGATTGGTCCCCACCCTTCAACTACTTTCCATATACTCACCCTTTCCTAATTGGTTTTTTACACCGTTGTGGCCACCTTTGAGTGGTGTCTTCACTTTAACCTTTTTTGCATACTCACAAACCAATCAGCACACACTTCCCATTATGAGTCCATAAAACAGGCCTAGACCCAGCCACACAGGGGGAACTTTCCCGCCTTTGGGTAGGGGTGCCAGCATCCCCTCTCTGCTGAGCGCTGTTCAGTTGCTTGATAAAATTCTTCTCATCCCTCCTTACCCTTCAATGTCTAGTGTATCCTCATTCTTCTTGGGCATAGCACAAGAGCTCAGGAACTGCTGAACGTGAGTACACGCTGTAACACAGGTGAGCTGGGGCATGCCAGTGTAGCCAAGCAAGGCTTGGGTGGGGTGTTGCTGGCCAGAGGTCCCCTGCTGGCAAAGTGATAAAGAAGAAAAATCCTACATCACTAGCACTTGCAACTTTAGTTGGGTCACAAATAAAATATAAAGGCCTATCATTTGTTTATGACATAAAACAGACACTTAAAGTAATTAAAACCCCTAGGACTTAGCTGAAACCTTGACTGACAGAAAATGATACTACAACAGTTTGAACTGAGGCTCTTGGTAGAGTTGGCTGGCTGCTTGCTCAATACCAGATCCACTTTTCTCAGTAATAAAATCCCATTTTCTTATTGCAAGGTATCCATCTCATTTGTAGACAGGGCAGGCCAAGGGACTAGGTTTGAGCCAATTGCTTGAGGGTGGAATTTTTGTTTATCAGAGAGATTATTTAAGGGGAGGCTAAAACAGCTGGTAGACCCTTACACTCCCCCTATGTTCTACTTCCTCTTACGTAGAATATGGACTTTGGAGATGGGCAGCCCTTTTGTGACCATGAGGCAACACTGAAGATGCAAGCCACATGCTAAGACAGAAGAAAATAAAGACAGAACTAAGCTGGGGCATGTATGACATTTCAAGCTCTCAGATCAGCCCTTGATGGCCACCATCCATATTTATTGACATGAAAAGTGGTCCTCATTTTGTCAAAGCCAATGGTATTCAGGACTCTGTTATTAATAACAAAATGCAATTCTTCCCTCTACCCACTACAGTTTATCATGAAACTCTTCAAACACATAGGAAAGTTGAGTATGGAATTTCTATCTCCAGCCTTGAGGTCTCACCTGGACTCTCGGTTATTCAATGGACTACTCTGCATCTCCATGTGCATTTCTAATAGCCTCCTCAACCTTAATGTATCCACAACTAAACCTTTGGTTCTGCACCACCCCCATCTTGCTCCTTGTCTCTCCATTTCCCCATCTCAGAAATTCACAACTCCATCTTTCCAGTTACTTTTTCTTCCTTCCTCCCTCCCTCCCTCCCTCCCTCCCTCCCTCCCTCCCTCCTTCCCTCTTTTCTTTTTTGACAGATTCTCACTCTGCCACCTCAGGGCCACTGGTGTAAGTCTCAAAGACCAGAGGCTGGAGACTCTGGAGTTGTGATATTGAAGAGCAAGAGAAGAGTGTTCCAGAGAGAGAGAGAGAGAGAGAGAGAGAGAGAGAGAGAGAGAGAGATCACCTTACCTTTCCTCTGCCTTTTGCTCTGTTGGGCCCACAGCTGATTGGAAGGTACCCAAAGATATTGATGGCAGATCTTTTCCACTCAGTCCACTGACTCGCATACCAGTCTCCCCTGAAAACACCCTCAGAGATACATCCAGAAATAATGCTCCAACAGTTGTCTAGTATTCCTTAACCCAGTCGACACCTAAAATTAACCATCACATTGATTTATTTCCCAAATCCTCTATCCCAACTCCCAAATATGGTTTGAGGATTCCTGGGGTGGGGTGGGGGGTCTCTGACATACGTTTTTGTCCCCCGACCTTTGTTTGAGACGTGAGTTTCACTCTTTCACCCAGACTGGAGTGAAGTAGCGCAATCTTAGCTCACTGCAACCTCTGCCCCACTGGGGTTCGAGGATTCCGTCTCAGCCTCCTGAGTAGCTGGGATTATAGGTGACCACCACCATGCCTGGCTAATTTTTGTATTGTTAGTGAGATGGGGTTTTGCCATGTTGACCAGGCTGGTCTTGAACTCCTGACCTCAGGTGATCCACCCTCCTCGGCTTCCCAAAGTGCTGGGATTACAGGCGTGAGCCACCGTGCCTGACGCGTTTTTTGTTTTTTTTGAGACAGAGTCTCCCTCTGTTGCTGAGGCTGGAGTGCAATGGCAGGCTCACAGCTCACTGCAAACTCCAATTCTTGGCTCAAGCAATCCTCCATTTTAGTCTCCTGAAGCAAGGACTACAGGTGTGCGCTACTACACCTAATTTTTTGTTTGTTTGTTTTTGGTAGAGACAAGGTCTCACTTAATTGGCCAAAACTGTTTTAAGGGGCCTGCAAGGTTAATAATCTTATTTTCATATTAATAATAAAACACAGTTTGTGGTTTTTAATCTCATTCTGTCACTAGGATAAAGTTTTTTGAGCCTATATAGTCTATGTTATCTCAACAGAGTGAGTATAAAGGCAGATATGAGAATCCAGTTATATTCTTTTAAGCCACACATTAGATTTGAAAAAAGTTAATCAATGCCACACTTCTCAATAAAATTTATTTTGCTTTGGATACCTTACTTATTTTTTCACAAACGTTCTACTTATATTAACCTAGAGTTGGCTTATTCATGTTACTTTAATATAAATTAATAAATGTTGTAAATGTATATAATATAAATAACTGTTGTAAAGGTAATAAACTACAACATTTCTTAGTTTCATTCTCTAATGCCTTAAATACCAACAAATATTAATTCAAATAAACAAAAACTCTTTGGAATCCTCCATCATTTGTAAGGTGTCTAAAGACATCATGAGACCAGGAAGTTTGAAGCCACTGGTGTCCCCATTGAACCTGAATGCTGAGGTAGACCTGGTCCATTACTCCTCGGCTCAGCCAAGACCTCAAACTTCAACCACACTCAGGGGCTGAGTACTGACTCCTTGCCAACTGCAGAGACACCTGAGCCAAACCACATCCACATGAGTCCATGTTCTTCATTCATCTTCGTCCCAGGTCCAGGCCTGTGGCTGTGTGCTCTGGAAATCCTGGTGTTGGGTGGAAATGAGCCCTCATTTCCCAGGTTCCCTTGGATGTTACGGTGGGACTTAGCCACCCTTACAACCTTGGTCCCTCCCAGCTCTCTGGTTCCACTTCCTCTCTCTCTGACCTGCAGATCTGGTTCCCTCTCCTCTCTGGTGGTCCTGTGGATTCCTCTTTCCTCTTACATCCTGATGAACCCTGTTGGCCTCATTCCAAGTCCATATCATCTGGTGCCAACTGGCATACTGGACTCAGTGTGGTCACCCTGATGTTAAACAGCAGGTTTGCTGCCCATCAACTTCTCACACTTTTTTCTTGGCTGGGAGCTATGAAACAACTAGTTCCCTATGCCTGGATCCCGTCCCATAGTTACAACTAAAGGAACTACTGAAGCCACAGCCTAGTGAGGAGGAGAAAACTGGGGCTGAGGGCTGGAGTGGGTGTGAAAGAGGCAGATGGAAGCTGTTCTCTTACCAGAGGGGAGAAGGGCGTGTCTTCCACTGGGGACGTGACCAGAGGGGAGGAGGGCGTGTCTTCCACCAACATTATGCAGTGGCTGCTGAGATGACCAGGGCTTATCTGCATGGCTGTGAGACCAGGGAATTGATTCTACAGGCTCTGATTGGTCCTCACTCTGTGAAATGTCAGGCCCTCTTCAGGCACTGTGACCCCATTTGCTCCTGTGAGTGCAGGGCAGATGAAGATGGGGCTATCATCAGACCCTATCCTGAAGAAGGGCCTCACAGGCATGGAAAAGGCTGAACGGGGACATGTGTAGATGTGCGATCTGTCCCTCATGTTGTAGAAGGAGACATCTCCAGCTTCATAGTCCAGGAAGACGCCCACCCGGCAAAGGGACTCCTTCAAAGGGAGAATCCTCTTAGGTGAGGACAGGGCCCGGTATTGCCCTTTATGCATGTCCAAGGTCCAGAAGCCATTCTGAGGAAGCAGCAGGACCTCCTCTTTCCTCTCAACACTGTCTCTGCAGACTCCCACAGTCCACTCAATCACGTTTTCCACCTCCACCTCCCAGTAATGTTTCCCTGAAGCGAAGCTCTCCCGGCCCAGGACACAAGGCTCACTGTCGAATCTCTCTGGGTTGTCAGGCACGCTCTCCCCTAGGTGCCTGAGGGGGCACCTTCTCACACTTCTCCGGTCCTCTGACAGCAAGAGATCAGGATGAGCGGTGTCTGGATCCAGGACCACATCGACTGCAGAGGAAGTCTCAGGTTTAGGCCTGGGGTCTCAGGAACCCTGGGGATTGTGTGGTTCCTGATTCCCAGAGAGGTCTCAGATATCTGTGGGGGGATCCCCAGGTAGTGGCCACTTCCATGAAGGCTCTCTGATCCTAGGCAGCTCACACACTGAGAATTACTGAAGCTGCCCTTCTATCTCTCCAGCAGTTCCCTCAGTTTGAGAAGAATTGGAGCTCTAAGAAATCCAGACAGTTTAGCAAATGAGGCAAAATTCATCGTTCTTACTTTCTCTCGTTCTAAGATGTGTTTCCCTTTTCTATTTCAAGACATAGGATCTCTGGCCGGGCACGGTGACTCCACGCCTGTAATCCCAGAACTTTGGGAGGCCGAGGCAGGTGGATCACCTGAGGTCAGGAGTTCGGGACCAGCCTGAGACAACATGGTGAAACCCCACCTCTACTAAAAATACAAAAATTAGCCAGGCATGGTGGTGCACGCCTGTAATCCCAGCAGTCAGGAGGCTGAGGCGAGGCATTGCTTGAGCCCGGGAGGCAGAGGTTGCAGTGAGTCCAGATTGTGCCTTAGCACTCCAGCCTGGGTGACAGAGCTGAATATCATCTCGAAAGAAAAAAAAAAAAAAACAACCCAAACAAAGACCTATGATCTCTGGATTTTCTTTAGTTAGAAACTTTCCAACTTGGCTCAAACCCAGCACAGGCTTTGTGTCCTGCTCCTCCTCTCCCAGTGGATCAGGTAAGGTGAGTGTTTCCCTTTGCACTATCCCCGGAGGGTAAAGGGAGTCTCTTGTTAGTCCTGTGTATTATTTTACCAATCCCCAGCAGCTTAAATGACTGACAAGGGCACCCTTCAAAAAAATAAAGGAGAATAAATGTCCACAAAGAAAACCTGCTTCCTGAGGGATCATGTAGGCAAATGTGGGGAGGAACAATTCCCATCAGTTTTAGCACAGCAGTGTGGGTCTGATGTCTTCAGGTATCACTTCTGTAGGTATAAGAAATGCTCTGGACACTGGGCATTCTGCAGGCCTCTCCCATCTGTATTTATTCTTAGCAATGATCTGCACTATATTGTGTTAAAATGATTTCCTCCATTCCCCAAGTTAATAGGTCTGGCTGTGACCAATTTGCCTATTTTGTTCCACATTGACAGTATGAATTCACAAATTCACCTAAAGAGGAAAGGTTCATGTGCCATAGCATCTGGTAAAGCTTGGATTCTGTGGTGCTTACGGGCAGAGGGGATGAATCACAAGATGAAAAGTGCTCACTGAGAGTGGGCAATTGGGTTCTGTGCTCTCCCGGAACCCCTCCCCAAGCAGTCTGTGCACAAAGTATCAGTGTTCTCTTAGGAGCAGAAGGCATTTTCTGGCCACATGCAAGTACACCCTTAGGTCAGGCTTATAGGGACCTCATGGCCTCTTCCCCACCTTGGCTCTGCAACTTAGCACAGTCACACTATCCCCAGGATATAGCTGCTAAGACAGCAATGTCTATTTTCAAATTTACCTCAGGATCAAACAACAACTACTAAATGCCAACTCCTACGGAAAGCTAGTATATGGGACACTTCTGCTAATCATGTATTAAATTATTCCAAAGAAAGAAAAAGATCCTGGGATGTAAACCAGGTGGATTGAGATGTCGATTCCTCACAGAAAACCATGATGCATCATTGCTGGGACACTGTTGATAGACTGACCCCATCCCTGCTGTCCCTACCTAGCCACAATCCCCTTGCCACATCCTCTAAAGTCCTGTTAGCTAGCTGTAGGAGCTGAGATCAAGGGCATCAGAGGCACTCACCAGCATGTAAGACTGTTCTTCTCCATCCTGCAAGGGGACAGACAGAGCGAATGTCATGGATGTTGCTAACTGAGCAGAACTCAAATTATATATATGGATTAGTTCAGGAAAGGCTAAACTTCGCAATTCTTCTTGAAGTTATCTGAAAAACAAACAGAAAGAAAATCATGTCTTCCACAGAAGAACTAAAAGAAGTTGGGTTTATAGTAAACAATTGCAGAGACTGTCCTTTCCTATGAACAGCAACATCTCCCTTGCCTCATGCCTAGAACACTGTCAAGAAACCCAGAAATGATGTCATCAGGTGTGGTGGGTAGTGCAGTGCATTGATATACTTGCTTTTGCTCAACCATGTGAGCCATGTAGCCAGATGAATGGATCAAGGTGGGCAGAATGAAAAGAACAAAAGCTCTGAGAGATTCATTCCAAAAAAAGGGACATCAGAGTTCAAGTCCTTGCTGCTGCTGTGCATTTCCTCTCTCTTCCATATGCTGGTACCAAGTGAGTGTCTTTTTCTATGGTGAACTGTCCTCCCACTCTTCTACTTTTTTTTTTTTTTTTGAATTAAATAGAGTCTCACTTTATTGCCCAGGCTGGTCTCGAAATCCAGGGTTCAGGTGATCTGCCTGCCTCAGCCTCCTACAGTGCTGGGATTCAAGCCATGAGCCACCATACTCAGCCTCTTTTACCTTTTACTTGAAGTTCTTTCTCTTTTGCACCCGTTCCTTCTCAGTTCCTTTACAGCAATTTCTCTTGTTTCCAGTTCAAACTCCTTTTCCCCTGACAGAATCTTTGTTTCCTTTTGGAGTCTGTTGATCCAGTAGATGCATACGGCAATGATTATCATCAGAAAAACCACAATGATAGGCAGGGCCACCCACACAGGGGAGACA